GTGGAGGGGGAGTGAGACGGGAGGAGGCGGGGGTGGGAGGCGGGGGTGGGAGGGGGTGGGGTGGGAGGGGGAGGGGAAGTGGGAGGGGGGCTCGTGACGCGCCCGGAGCGCAGGGCCGCAGGCGCGCGGATCCTCAGCCCTGAACCGAGCGAGCGCCGTCGGGTCGGGAAGGAAGCCTGGCCTGGGGCCGCGGGCGGGAGAGGGGCCGTGGGCTCCGCGGTCCCGGGGCCTCGGGGTCTGAACCCTGAGTCTCTCCTCACCGCCCGCGCGGGGCCCGGCCCTGGACGCCACGACGCCCAGAGGGACGGACAGACAAGCGAGGCAGCGCGCGGCTCGTTGGTCTAGGGGTATGATTCTCGCTTAGGGTGCGAGAGGTCCCGGGTTCAAATCCCGGACGAGCCCGCTTTTACTGAAAAAAACTCCTCCCTTCCCCCCTGCGGCGCGGAGCCCCGGGGACCCCCCCTCGGAGCCCCCTCACCCCTCGGAGCCCCGGGGACCCCCCTCGGAGCCCCGTCACCCCGCGGAGCCCGGGGGACCCCCCTCGGAGCCCCGTCACCCCTCGGAGCCCCGTCACCCCTCGGAGCCCCGTCACCCCGCCACCCCGCGGAGCCCCGTCCGACCTGCAGGCTCGCCGTCGGGCTGCCGGGCTTTCGGGACAGACGCTCTTTTTCTCCCGTGCCGGGCCCGGGCCCGGGTGTCGGGATGGCGGCCCGCGGAGCCGCCGGGGCCCGGGCGGGGGCGCCGGGGGTCTGGGACCGGGGACCAGGCGGGGGTCGGGGTGGGGCGCCGGGGCGCTGGGAGTCGGGGTTCGGGGTCGCGGGTCGGGGGTGCGCGTGGGCCGGTCGGGAGCGCCGGGCGTCGGAGGTCGGGGTCCGGGGTCCGGGTCCGGCCGGGGCGCCCGGGTCCCAGGCTCCTCCCGGCTCCGTCCACGGCGCGGCCTCTCCTCCCCTCCAGCAGCTCAGGAGCCTGGACTTCCTTAACCCTCGGCCACCCCCCAGGTGCGGCCCGGCTAGCTCAGTCGGTAGAGCATGAGACTCTTAATCTCAGGGTCGTGGGTTCGAGTCCCACGTTGGGCGGCCTCCTTTTTGGCGAGGCTCGTGCGCCCTCCACGGCAGCAGCGGCCTTAGCGCCGGCCTCGTTCTTCCAGGGCCTTCTTGGGGCGCCGGGTGCCCCGCAGCGACGCCCCCCCCCCGGGCCGCCCAGCCCGGCGCTCCGCCTCCTCCCCGGCTGGAGTCCCACCGCCGGCCGCCGCCCTCGGGTCGCCCCGGCGGCCATGGCCCGGCTCGGGGACCGGAGACTGCCCGGCTCGTTGGTCTAGGGGTATGATTCTCGCTTAGGGTGCGAGAGGTCCCGGGTTCAAATCCCGAACGAGCCCTTTTCTGTTTACATCCGTTTTCTCGCCTCGGGGGTTGATGTGTGAATCCAGAAATTAGGCCTCAAAGAGTGCGTTACACACACGCACACTCACGCACAGTCATCCCAAAGCAAACTCAGAAGGCCTGCATTTGGCCTGGCCCTCGCTGGTTCTGGGGTCCGGAGGGCGTGGACACCCCAGGCAGGTCCCCTGCCAGGCCAAGAGAAGGCCCCTCACCAGCCTCGGGCCTCAGCGGAGGAGGGCTGCGATTACACACCTGCACCACGAGCCCATCTTAAATATACGACACGGGATGTGTGTGTGTGTTTATTTAGAAATGTTTGTATATAATATCTATAATGTCCACAGGTACTCAACACGAGAGCCCATCCATCCTCTCATCTAAGTGGGGATAACCGCTTTATTAAAACAGTTGCAGAGAATTGACCCTGAGTATAACAGACAAATACTCCACCCCTCCACCACACCTTCGGCTTTCAATGGTAGCGTAGAAGCCATTGGTCTCCTGGCCCCCTTCCGCTGGCTCATGGTTCTCTGGTTTGCCAGGGTCCCCACCCACACCGGATAAAGAGGATTTTGATCCTGGAATCTCGGTTTTACTGGTGGAAGACAGCCTTCACGGTCTCCTGCCTGGTTTAAGACATGAAGGAATTTCAGGGAGGGGACCACGAACTAGCAGCCCTGTTTCCTGATCTGTGACCCTAGGCCTCCCCGGGCCCAGGCCTGGTGACCCTCCTACCTCCCAAAGCTCTCTGTCTTTGCAGCTGTGGCTTTGCTGAATGTCCACCACTGGATGAACTGCAAGCTGTGCTGAATAGGAACACTGTCCCGAGTGGGCAAGTGTCCTGGAAGAAATGCCCAAACCCATTCCCAGGCTGCCTTGGAGCTACCAGTCCTCAGGCATTCCTTCTGACCTACATACAAGAAGAAGCTGAGGATCTGCCCCAGTGGCCTAATGGATAAGGCACTGGCCTCCTAAGCCAGGGATTGTGGGTTCGAGTCCCACCTGGGGTAAACTTCTTTGGCAGTGTTTTCTGGCGTTGTTCCCTTTTGGAATGTAGAAATTAATAACATGTAAAAAAGCAAGTGACCAAAAAAAAAAAAAAAAAAAGCAAGTGACAAGAATTGGGGGCAAAGATGAATTTGATGAATTGCAAACTGAGAAGACTGTAGGACCACCGTTCAACATGACGCGTTAAACACGAATTCTATCATGTCCAGAGTGGACACCTCTCCATTCCACATATGGCAAAGACTTCATGATTCAGAGGAGGCCGGTAGTTTTGCCAAGATCATGTAACTGGAAATGGCGCAGCTGGGGAACAGGGTTCAGGTGTGTGAAGCAGCACAGGTTGCGTTAGTATCTATGTAAGTTCACATGCTGCCCAACACACACACCACCGAGTGTGACTTTCTGTATCCAAAGGGTTGTTGCCAAGGGTTCCTCTCAGGATTGGATTACTTTCATTGATGCCAAGTCGTGAAGTAAGAATTGCGTAACTGAACTGACAGGTCTATTCTCGGCGCTGAGCTCCAGAGACCCGAGGAAGAGACAGGACAATTACCCTGCACTCATCTTTAACAAGGCCCTCAGGGAACTTTGCCCTAGTGGCCGCCAGGGCTCGTGTGCAAAGCCTGCCCTGCAATCTCCCAGATGTCCTCTGCTGCCCGCAGCTGGGTCCACACACTCCATGCAGGCTTAGCTTGAAAACACTGACAAGTCCTCCCGCAGAGCCATGATGTCTGGCCAGGCCTGACCGAATGAAGCAGGCCCAGAACTTCAGATGGCTGAGGCTGCCCTTTGTCTGGGTAAGTGTCATGAGTAACTGGTACTGTGGGGTGAAGCCACACAGGGCTCTCTGCTTCTTTTGAGTAGAGCCGTCAGAGCAGTTAGAAAGTCATCAGCTTCTGTCAGGACCCATGTCGGCCTTGCCTTTTTTCCAAGACCTTGATCACGAGGGACACAAATTGGCTTCGTTTCTGTGCAAACCTCCGGCTTATTTCCTCTTTAATATTACAAAATAGGCTCAGGGAGCCCAGTGCAACATGCTTTATAAACAAGATATAAAATTATTGAGCCGGTGCTGGTGGCTCACGCCTGTCATCCTAGCTACTCAGGAGGCTGAGATCTGAGGATCATGGTTCAAAGCCAGCATCTGGGAGACCCTTATCTCCAATTAACCACTAGGAAACCAGAAGGGGTGTTGTGGCTCAAGTGGTAGAGCGCTCGCCTTGAGCTGAAGAGCTGAGGGACAGCGCCCAGGCCCAGAGTTCAGGCCCCATGACTGACAACAAAAAAACAAAAATAAATAAAGTTATCGACAAAAAGGCAGGAGGAATATCGTTGTTATTAATATTATTGACACTCAGTTACCCATAGCGGCGCAGGGTAGTAAGGTGTGACGTGCTCAGATCCAGAGGAGGAAGCAGGAGGCTCAGTATATGTTTGTTTCCATGACAATTGCTTCACATGTGTTCTCTGGTACTCATCAACAAGCCTGAAGTCTCTCGTTTTTTTCTTTTTCTTCTTGAACTCTGGGCCTGGGCCCTGTCCCCCAGCTCTTCAGCTCAAGGCGAGCACTCTACCACTTCAGCCACAGCGCCACTTCTGGTTTTCTGGTGGTTTATTGGAGATAAGAGTCTTGTGGACTTTCCTGCCCAGGCTGGCTTTGAACCTCGATCCTCAGATCTCAGCCTCCTGAGTAGCTGGGATGACAGGCGTGAGCCACCATCACCAGGCAGCTGAAGTCTCTTTATTAAGAGACTTATAACTGTGGTGTTTGTTGTTTTTTTTTTTTTTTAATTTTAAATCATGCTATTTAAAAACATGAGGTGGTCATAAAACTTTCAACCAGCCCAAAGGATTAAAGAAAGACACCTCAGCCGGGCGCTGGTGCCCCGCCCAGCCATAAACTAAACGCACTTTGCTAATCAAGAGATGGAGCTTACAGAAAGCCGGCCACTGGCCGCAAACAGTGATCAAACGTCTAATGTCCAAGTATGTCTCAGCTCACCCAGTCTTCCTGCAATCTTGTTTTCTGTTTGTTTGTTTGGCTAGTACCAAGGTTTGAATGCAGGGCTTCACTCCTGCTCAGATGATGCCTTGCCACTTGAGTCACACCTCAGCCCAGATTTTTCCTGGTTATTTTGGAGAGGCAATGTCATGGACATATCTGCCCAGGCTGACTCCTGACTGAAATCCTCTGGAGTCCATGTTCCTTAGTAGCTGAGATTATAGGCATGAGCCACTAATACCGGACTATGCTGCTGCTGCTGCTGCTTTTGCTGCTGCTTCTGCTTCTTCTTTTTCCTCCTCCTCCTCCTCCTCCTCCTCCTCCTCCTCCTTCTCTTCTTCTATGTGCTAGTACTGGGGATGGAACTCAGGACATGGGTGCTGTCCCTGAGCTTTTGTGCTTTTTGGTGATTGAATGGAGATGAGTCTCAAGGACATTCCTAGGCTGGTTTTGAAATGTGATTTTCAGATCTCAGCCTCCCGAGTAGCTAGGATGACAGGCGTGAGCCACCGGCGCCTGAGTCTGCAATCTGATGTTTTATATCCACCATCACTTCTAGGACCTGTAAACTTGCCCATTTTCTCTGTCTCCAGAACCAGGCTGTCAGCACTATGAGAGCTGCAAACCGGTCCAGCGTGTCGGAGTTCCTCCTCCTGGGACTGTCCAGGCAGCCCCAGCAGCAGCAGCTCCTCTTCCTGCTCTTGCTCACCACGTACCTGGCCACCGTCCTGGGAAACCTGCTCATCGCGCTGGCCGTCAGCACAGACGCACGCCTGCGCAGCCCCATGTACTTCTTCCTCAGCCAGCTGTCCTGCGTGGACGTCTGCTTCTCCTCCACCACGGTCCCCAAGGTGCTGGCCAACCACATCCTCGGGAGCCACACCATCTCCTACCCTGGCTGTCTCACGCAGATGTATTTTGTTTTCCTTTTCGTGGACATGGACAACTTCCTTCTGGCCGTGATGGCCTATGACCGCTTTGTGGCCATCTGCCACCCCTTACATTACACAGCGAAGATGACTCCTCAGCTCTGTGCGCGGCTGGTCTCTGGGTCCCGGGTCGTTGCCAGCCTCAACGCGCTGTTGCACACCCTGCTGATGGCGCGGCTGTCCTTCTGTGCGGACAATGCCATCCCGCACTTCTTCTGCGACGTGACGCCCCTCCTGAAGCTCTCCTGCTCAGACACGCGCCTCAACCGGCTGATGATTCTCACCGAGGGCTCCGTGATCATGATCGCCCCCTTCGTGTGCATCCTGGCCTCCTACGTCCTCATCGCCGGCGCTGTCCTGAGAGTCCCGTCCCCCAGGGGAAGGTGGAAAGCCTTCTCCACCTGCGGCTCCCACCCGGCCATGGTCTGTCTCTTCTACGGCACCATCATCGCTGTGTATTTCAACGCTTCGGCCTCACACTCCGCGGAGAAAGACACAGCGGCCACAGGGCTGTACACAGTGGTCACCCCCATGCTGAACCCCTTCGTCTACAGCCTGAGGAACAGGGATTTGAAAGCGGCTCTCAGGAGAGTGGTCCCCAGGCAGATGTCCTTTTACTGATGGCTGTACCACAGATCTGTCAACCAAGCAATCTTTGCTACGTCACTGAGGTACTGTGGTGTGTTTGTCAAAGTGTTTAATGAGCTAGAATAAATGCGCCAAGTCTGCTTATTTACAATGTTGCTCTTCTAAATTTTTCAGGGAAAGCTGGCTTCCAGAGCTCACAATGGGAGGCTAGAGGGGCAGGAGTAGGAAGGCAGCCTGGCAGCCCCAGGCCCATCTGGGTTCTATATTGACACCCTGTCTTAGAGAGAGAGAAAATAGGGGAAAGGGTGCTGTAGCTCAAAGTGGTAGAGCGCTGGCTTTGAGCAACAAAGCTCAGAGACAGCATGCGGATCCGGGTTCAAGGCCTATGACAGACAAAAATACAACATGATACTTGTTTCCACATGCTTTATTTTAAATATTCTTACATTTTCTTCTTTCTACCTGCGTATGTAATTCAGTGGTGCAACATTTCACAGTATTACTAAAGCTTGATTCCCAGAGCCACCAAAAAACATGGCAGTTTTCCTTCCTTCCTTCCTTTTCTTCTGGAAGTTGATTTTGAGAGCTTGATCCCTACCTACACTGCCCAGAAAAGTCTTCCTCAGTGACATCACTTTGAAAGCTTACATTTCACTCAGGTGTTTACTCTTTTTTTTTTTTTTTTGGGTCCGGTCGTGGGGCCTGAACTCTGGGTCTGGGTGCTGTCCCTCAGCTCTTCAGCTCAAGGCGAGCGCTCTACCACTTGAGCCACAGCGCCACTTCCGGCTTTTTTCTTTTTTTGCTTATGTGGTGCTGAGGAATTGAACCCAGGGCCTCAGGCATGCAAGGCAAGTGCTCTACCACTGAGCCACCTTCCCAGGCCTCAGGTGTTTACTCTTACGTTTTAGAAACGCTCTGTAAATTCTCAGCAGTGACTTTCAGTTTGGGCTGCCCGTTAGTATCACCTGAGTAGCTTTGACAATGTACATACATATGCTTGACCCAACGAGTCATCTCAGTGGGATCTGGGAACTGGTTGTTACCCATGTTTACCTTCCCTAGGGAGTGTGAGTATACTTTCAGAGTTGATATTACATGACTTTCCTCGTTCTTCAGGACTTCTCATCCTGAAGACTGAGCCCTCAGGCATCTATGGCCTCCAATGTAGGTAGAGGCAATACAAGTGAACGATTTGGGTCCTTGGCTATGCTGTGTGGGCCACAGCTTTGTATTGAGCAGGCTAGTCCTTTGCTTATAAATCAGTTTTCACTTTCTCAGCAATTTTACTGTCTTACATTGGCAGGTATGTTTAGTATATGTTTTTAATTTTTCAAGGAAAGACAATTTGTATTCTTTCCATATGCCTTGTTTTCCTCTCCCAGAGGAGCAAATCCGCCCTGAGCCATCAGGACTAAAGTCGTCGGTGCCCTGCTCTTTTCAGAGCCTTGGCTCACTGTTGTGGGCTGAGGCTGTCATTCCTCCATTGGAAGCTTCTTCAGAAAACTCCTCCAGCCCCTGAACATGTGTGACCATCTCATGTGCTCATTCATCCTCCCTCTCCCTCCTCCTCCTCCGTTCTCCACAGAGGGTCCTGAGATATTCCGCATTCAGATCTCCTACTTCCACAGGAGATCTGACTGCTGGCACTGAGGAGGTATGATCTGACTTTCAACCAGGATGTCCTTTACAAAGGTGAGCGTGGCTGGGTGCCAGTGGTCACGCCTGCAATCCTAGCTACTCAGGAGGCTGAGATCTGAGGATCAGAGTTTGAAGTCAGACTGTGTAGGAAAGTCTATGAGACTCTTATCTCCAATTAATCACAAAAGAACCTGGAAGTAGTGCTGTGGCTCAGGAGGTAGAGTGCTAGCCTTGAACAAAAGAGTTCAAGGACAGTGCCCAGGCCCTGAGTTCAACCTCAGGACTGGCAACAAAAGAAAAAGAGATAAGGTTGAAGTTGGCAACCAGAGCCATGTGCCTGGCACTTCAGCTAAAGTCTGGAGGGTTGTCATTCTATGCCAGCCAGGGCAGAAAAGTCTATGCGACTCCATTGTCAATGGCAGAAGCTGGGTATGGGGCACACACCTGCCATTGTAGCGACAACAGGAAGTCTAAGATTGGTAGACTGAGGTCCAGGCACATATCCAGACAGGAAGTGAAACCTTATTCGAAAACATAAAATAAAACCTACCACCCTCAAGTGCTGGAGGCATTGTTTAGTAGTCACATGCCTGCCAAGCAGGCATAAGTTCAAAGCTCAACACTGCCCAAAGAAAAAAAGAATTAAAAATATGTGAGATTGATCAATGATCAATGGATAAATGGATCCTCTGGGAAGGCTGGGCCTTTGTGCTAAAGTTTAGAATCAGTTTGTCCACCAGAGATTTATGCACTGATCCTTGATATAACAGAATTGAGAGGTACTGGGGTTTTTGTTTTATTTGTTTTGTTTTGGGGCCTGAACTCAGGGCCTGGGAGCTGTCCCTGGGCTTTTGTTCTCATGGCTAGTGTTTTCCACTTGAGCCACAGCTCCAGGTTAACTGGAGATAAGAGTTTCAAGGACTTTCCTGCCTGGGCTAGCTTTGAACCATGATCATCAGATCTCAGGAGCTAGGATTGCATGCGTGCACCATCATTGCCTGGCTGTGGTGTTGGCTAGTTAAGAAGAGAGGCCCAGGTGGGCGGGGATTCCATCACAGGCCACCATCCTTGCAGAGGACTGGTGTGGTTTTTGAAGGGTTGGGTTATTTCTAGGGAGAGAAGGTCGTTATAACAGAGTGAGCCTAAACCCTTACCGCCTCTTACCTTCTCTTAAGGCCACGTGACTTGTTCTGCACATGCTTCTGGTTACTTTTGCACACATTTCCAGCTTGGCATCATACACCACCTGTGACATAGGCCGGAGCCTTGGGCAGATGCCAACACCAATGCATCTAAAATTGTTAGCCAAGCACACCTCTTTCCTTCATATATCGCCTGCTGTCAGGTATTCTGTGCTAACAACGACTCAAGATAAGTTACAAGGACAGGCATCACCTGCATTATTGCTAAAAACTCATCCTCCCGGGCTCCATCCAAGACCTCCAGATTACTTCTGTGAATGTTATTATTTCTCAGTCTAGAAACTTCCCGAAATTTCCAGTCCAGCAGACTGTACTGACACTGGAAAAGTATCTGCAGAGAGGTGGCCTGTCCTAACAGCAATACTAAGATTTGTGCCTGGTGAATTGGAGGTAGCTTCTCTTTATACTTAACCTGATGACAGAACAAACTAGGAACAGACTCAGAAATGGGCATCCAATGTATGCACAGCGTTGCTCAATCTATCTGAAGTGGAAATACAGCCCTCATACTAAATGCTTTAAGGGAGCTAGTCCAACTCTACCAATCTATACCTTACCCTCTGTCCCCACAATCTGCTACTGCGTCTGGGCCCAAAACCCTGTTCCGTACATGAGAGACGAGGGGGAAACCACTCCTCTCAGACACTACGACCACGTCCTCCTTTCTCATAACTGACTTCAAACTTACACATCTCAGCTGACATCAGCAAGGTGATGACATGGGAGGTGTTGGGGAATTTCCTCTGGGATTTATCTCCAGACTGCTTTATCCCCAACATGTGACCCAGGGCTCCCTCGATGTGCTTCTTCAGGAGGGTCCCCCGGGACCGGGAAGGAGCCGGGTCATTTATTTTCTGCGTGTATCTAATGAGACTCTCAGGAAGTCTAGTCCCCAGGGAGCCACGGATGTGACTGTACATTCTTGTCTGATCCACGCCCCCCCATCCTGCTCCAAACATCCTTCTTGTACAGAGGGCTACGACCATGAACGTGAAGACTTTCCAATACTTAAAGAGTGACACTGACCAGCCACTCCAAGGTAAAGAGCACACAGGGGCCCACACCACCAAGCCGGCCCGGCGCCCTGCCACGGTGGCAAGACCAGCTTAGTATTAGTGCGTAGTGTTCTGTCAGGCACCCCCTTGGCTAACGCTTCCACACCTGAGAGCAATTGCAACAGGGGTGAACTGGACATTCGCACAATCGCCATCCGCTGATTCTCTTGTGCCTGTTAGCTGCTGCGGGGGGCGGGGGGTGCATGCCTAGGGACTTTTCACAAAGAGCCGTGTGGTTGTAGGGTTATGGCTGGGCCTGCATGCCGCTCTCATGTTATGCTTTCTAATGTGAGAAGAATGAGTCCGGCGGGGCCAGCAGCACAGAGCACTGGGCGTTGGGAATTCGTGTGGTGGGAACTAGGGGCGGCTGGGCTGCAGCGCCAGTCATTCCGTGCTAACCCTCAGCATCCACAGTTCTGCACTCTGCTTTTCTCCTCCCACGGCTGAGAGAATGAGAGCTGCAAACCGGTCCAGCGTGCCGGGGTCCTCCTGCGGGGACTGTCCGGGCAGCCCCAGCAGCAGCAGCTCCTCTTCCTGTGCTTGCTCACCACGTACCTGGCTACCGTCCTGGGAAACCTGCTCATCGCGCTGCTGCCAGCACAGACGCACGCCTGCGCAGCCCCCCGCGCTTCTTCCTCAGCCAGCTGTCCTGCGTGGACGTCTGCTTCTCCTCCACCACGGTCCCCAAGGTGCTGGCCAACCACATCCAGGAACACAAGGGAGAATAAACACTTTTGGCGGAGGGTGCGGAGAGAGACATCAGTATCTGGGCTCTGCTGAAGTGCTGTCAGCTGTCAGGAGAGGATGTACTTAAGGCGGATGAGATTCCAAAGAGAAAAATTCTGACTGGCGATCCATGTATTTCATGTAGGGGAAGAATACGTCTGAGCTGAGCTGTTATTTGGCCAAAAAAAACCTGCAGTAACTCCCATCCACCACCTCCGGTGGATGTCTGGTTATTTTTGTGGCGATGCCAATATTCATGTTTTGGGGCTGAGACTTCATTATAGAATGTTTACATGTAAAGAAAATGAAATGTCACTTTAAATTTGACGTGTGTGTCACAACTGAGGAAAATGAAATGGGTTTTTAGCAAGCGTGGTTTTTGTTTCAGGAAAGGCAGGAGTGTAATGATCCG